GGACAGAATGCTAAAAGTTTTTTTGTCATAGTCCCCCATTGGTACGATGGCTCAGTGGTTAACACTGTCACCTCACAGCGAGAAGGTCACTGGTTCAAGTAATGGCTGGGCCAATTGCCATTTTTGTGTGGCATTTGCATGTTCATGGGTGTTTCCTAATGGGTTGCGGTTGGAAGGACATCCGTTGCGTAAAACATTTGCTAGAATAGTTGGCAGTTTATAATGAATGAGTGAATGAATGAATGAATGAATAGCTCCCCATTTAGTTAGGTCAAAGATGACCTAAGCCTAAGCAAACCAGGACTTTTCCTGTTTTTCCAGGACAATTTCCAGTTTTGGTGTAGACTAAAAGAGAACACAGAAAAACTATCTAAAAATGTAAAAGCACCCTTATCTTGCCATGTTAAGATCACACGATCATCTGTTACTGATAAAACTTTTACTAGTAGGTTTCAGTAAAACTTCCAAGCCCAAGAAGACAAACACAAACACAATCTTAAAAGGTGCTATTTGAAGTAGATCCAAGTTAATGTTCATATACCGATGAATGTAATGTTTAGATTTTTAATGTTAGTTTAAGTGTTAGTTTTCAGCATCAAAAGTTCTTAGAGTGAAGATAAAATCCTATAATGCTATTCAAAAGAGAACATCAACACAGAAAAAAAAAAAAAAAATTTATTTTACTTGTTAATTTACACTACATTCATAAATTTGTTGGCAAAGACTATTTTTAATAACTCTGGCAACCACTGCCGCAGCAAATATTATTATTTGATTTACTCCAGTATAAAGATATGCTGTTTGTTGCCACTTATACTTTGTGCAAACATCGTCTACCAGTTAAGTATAACGTAAAAAAAAATCGGTGTAAATACTTTGTTTTTTTTTTTTTTTGTTTTTTTTTTACACAAAGTAAAAATAGCCTTTGCTTTATTTAGAGTAATTCAGCTTCAGTCATTATAATACAATTAAAGTCATGTGGAGTAATAAATCACAGCTGCCAAACTAATTTAGCTCCATTTGAGTTCAATCAAAACAATGTTTCTATTGTCTCTGGCAGCAACTAAACTGCATTTCTGTTTGTCATTATAACATTTTGCTTAGGTTTAAAATGTGTCCCTTTTAAATGTATAAATCAGTAGCTGTTCATCTGGTGTACATAATCCTCAAAAGTTTATTATGATAAAATTTATGGAGGACAAAACCTGCAAAAACAATAAATAAATAAATAAATAAATAAATAAATAAATAAATAAGTAAATAGATGCGCAAATATATAAAGAAATGAGTAAATAAATCCATTAATTCCTTCATAAAAACAATAAATGAATAAATATGCAAATATATAAATAATTCGCAAATTCCTGCATAAATAAGTATATAAATAATTAGTAGTGAAGGCAGGTTAATAATTAAATAAATTACACAAATATTGTCCTTTCAAACGTTTATTTATTCTTGAACGTAGTTTTGTATTTATTTTTCCTCGCCACTACGTCACTACGATTATCAGTTTAGCTTTTTTTATTATTCCCCCAACATTTATGTAATTTATTTAAATGTTTACCCGCCAACTGGTAATTAATTATATATTTATTTATGCAGGAATTTTATATACATTTTTTTATTGTTTATTTATACAGGAATTTATAGATTTATTTATTATTTTTGTATTTATTTATTTATTGTTTTTGCAGGTTTTGTCATCCATAATAATTAGACTAAGGCTGCATAAAATATTAAATACAAAAAATTTATATATCTGCAATAGAACATTTTAAAGGTAATTCTAAGCGGTCAAATGATAGGCTATTATTTACCTTCTCTAAAAACCAATGTTGGTCTTACAGAGTCCAACTGCGACCTCGAACTTGATATGAATGTCTTGTGATGTATGAAGACAAATTTTCCTTGTATGTTATGATTATGAAAACATAACATGGCCTTGGTGTCTGTGTGCTTTTGTTGATGTAAATGTTATTTACACAGAGAAGAGGCTAACCCTTACACCCCTCAAGACCCCAGCGAAAAGATTGACCTCTGCCAAGAATAACACAAATACGTAACCTGAGCTCATAATAATGAACTTGGACTGACCTTTTGTGAAACTAAATGGTAAAATAATGTAGTGGACTGTCTGTGGTAGGTGTAGGAGCCCGTCCAGGAGATGTTTGCATGGCACAAAAGCTTTAATGCCAAAGGAGTGGATAAATGTGTTTTGTTGAGGAAGAAAACATGGGAATGAAGTTCTATTGTTTGATATATGAACTTACAAGACTCAGGCATTACCCAAGAGGCCTTTTGCTGATATCCTTGTGACACTTGCTCTCTGAAATCACCCCCTCAGCTCCTTTAAATCTGCTCTACATGTCACGAAAGCAAGGTTTTCCATCATAATCAAAGCTATCTTTGATGTCTTGTTCTTTAAATAAACAGACAAATCAGACTTATCTTTATGTGAGACTTAGAGATTTGTCTGTCTGCTGTGTTTCTGCAAATGTTCAGCAATTGAGGAACATTCTTTAGTGGCAATGTATGACTTTATCAGACATGTCTAAAGAATACATAGACTGTGTTTTAGTAAATGTGTTTGCCGGACAGTATTTGCATTACATTAAATTGAGTGACCGATATTCAACAAATAATTTGTCTGAAACACTGTCATAACCTCCACAAAATAAAGAGACAGCATTACTCAGTAGTGATTTGTGATCTGACAGTAATTGTCTTTATTTATTACTAAAGATGATGAATTCTAGTTCCAGAGTTTGTTGCTTTGGAAAAATGGGTGCTTTAAAAGATGAATATAGAGGCAACACTTCTCGGTAGGGATTTTACTGTAAACACGCCAAAGCACAGCAAGCTGTCAGCACACTCAAACCCTCACTGAGAAGTCTTAATTCATTTCCTTTAAAGGGCTAGTTCACTTCAAAATTCAACACACTGGTGTTGTTCCAGTCCCGAAGGCCCCTTTTTCTTTTTTTGCACCACAGAAAGAGAAGTTTAAAAAAATGCTCTGCTTGCTCTCGTCCTGTTTGACCGGCTGTATTCCACATGTTATAGTGGTTTACAATACATTTAGGTAAAACAAATATTGGTTAAATAATACAAGGTTGTTTTTGTTTTTTCTCCAAACCTAATGTAAACTCCCAACATTTGTCTAAAATTATGGAACAGTCTGGAACAGATTCTCAAACAATATCAGGATATTAATCAATTTAAAATTTGTATAAATTTATATTATAAATTAATATAATGATGAATAGAGTTGATTAAAATGGAACAGAAAGAGAAAGGTACATGTATGATGAAATTTCAGTCAATGGCTGTTTGCAATACTATTTTTTTTTTTTTTTTTGGTGTGTGTTGCAAAATGCAAATGAACAAATGGAATCAAACATATAATATGTCAAAGATGCCAAAAGGATAAAATACAATTGAAGTCAGAACTATTAGCCCCCCTTTGAATTCTTTATATATATATATATACATATATATATATATATATATATATATATATATATATAAATAAAAGGATGTTTAACAGAGCAAGTAAATTTCACAGTATGTTTGATAAATTTTTTTCTTCTGGAGAAAGTTTTATTTGATTTATTTTGGCTAGAATAAAAGCAGTTTTTAATTTTGTTATGAACCATTTTAAGGTCAAAATTAAAAGCCTAGGCTTTTTTTAATGACTGTCTACAGTACAAACCATCATTATACAATAACTTGCCTAATTACTCTAACCTGCCTAGTTGACCTAATTAAGTCTTTAAATGTAAATTTAAGCTGTATAGAAGTGTCCTGAAAAAGATTGTCAAATATTATTTACTAGAAATGAGTTACTAAAACTGTTATGATTAGAAATGTGTTGAAAAAAATCCGTAAAACAGAAATAGGGGAAAAATAAACAGGGGGGCTAATCATTCTTCAACTTCATGTAAAGCTGACTGTATATCCCTTATGATAAAGGAAGAGACATGTGAAAGAAGAAATAAGTTGAAGAAATAGACAAATGATGTGTGTTTTAATAGGGTGGGGAAAATAATAAGTTTGTGCTTCATCCCACTCCATTTCGACCATGTTGAAATGTATTTTGTGTCAAGAAATGTTTTGTGTATGATTTTTCTGTTCGTAATAAATAAATAAATAAATAAATAAATAAATAAATAAATAAATAAAAAATCTAATTAAATGAGTGCATTATAAATGGACAACCAGGGTGTTTGATTTTTTAAACCATTAATCTTTTGTTTTCTAAAAATAAAGAGTAAACTGCATTAGAACAACACCATGATGAGTAATTGATGACTTCATTTTAATTTAATGATTTAATTTCTTTAAGTAGATCTCCATTAACCCACTAGTTGGTTGTTGGACAACAAATGCAAAGTCTTTCCATCCACTCTTTCATTCATTCATTTGCTTGTTCCTTTATTCAAAATAATGGGACCGTTTTGAGAGCTACTGCTCTGGAGTGTGTGAATCCGTGTTCTTCGTGATTCCCTGCCGAAGCAAATCTCCTAATGAAGACGAACTACTAGAGTTTTCTCCGAATTTCATGGCACTCTTTTGCCTAATGAAGCAGAGATTCAGACATGATCGTCGCCCCAGCCTCTCACAATTCAGAATACTGTTTGTTATTCAAGCAAGAATGGGAGACGTGGACAGAACAGACGAGGGATGGTGTGAGAAAATAAAAGAGAGGCATTTGAAAGAGGGCTGAAAGTGGCCGTCCTCATCAAGCTGACCTTTTGTTTAGAGACAAACAGATTTAGAAAGCATGCGTGTTGGTGGACAAAAGAATAGACTTGAATAGAGCAGCAGCTGATGCGGGGCTGCTAAAATGCATAGACATGCCTGAAAGAGACCACAGTAAAGCAGCTGAACATTCGTTTGGGATTTAATAAGACCTCAGACGCACACACACACACAAAAGCACACACCTCCCACAATGATGCTCTGACACTCCCTCTATCTAACTGTCCACTCCATCACAGGCCCACGGCTGCAGAAATCTCCTCGTCCATCATGAAGACTGCAGGGGAGCCGGACAGACGGAGACAGAGGAGACAGGTCAGGACGGGACGGTTTTCATGTGCTTGGTGGTCTACATCAGTGATGCTCTTCTTCTCTCTGCCTGAGGGGAACTGCATGAAGGAAAGTTTGCCAAGAGTTAAACTCGGCTACAAAGGTAAAGTTTATTTAACATTCCATTTAATCCCAAAGTTAAAGCTTTTCAAAATAATCTGTTCATTATTTGGTGTTTTGCCAAATTCTGCTGTATTTATTTGAAACATCTGCTGGTATGTTTGTCATTTTTAAAGGATACGTTTTGAAGTGCATGTTGGAGTGTGATGAGAGGTTTACAGCTCACTTGTATGAGGTCAATATTTAGACTGCACATCTGACTGATTGAGTGTACATAGGGGATGTGCGGCATATCAGTAGCAGTACGCAAGCTTTGTGTTGTATTTACTTCCAGGACACATACTTGGATGGACTGGATGATAATATATGATGTAAATATGTTTTGATTATAATTTAAGATGATTTTAGTCACTGTAAAGCTTTAGAATTCCTTGAAATAATAATGTTTGTGTATATCCTAAAAATACAGTATGTTTGTATTTTGCATTTGGACACTGTCTGGAATAAGCTCCCACACACGCATCAGTGTTTTCAATTAATTATCCTGTACTGTGATGATTAATATAAAGTGCCAATTCCACTTTATCAAAATGGGCTTGTGGGTTTGCGGGTTGAGGTGCAAATGTTTGTGGTACAGTTTAACTTTACAATTTACAGTATTTTTTCACAGATATAATGTATTTTTTTAATATTAATAGGTTATCAGTATAAAATGTAGTTGTTGTCCTAGTCACATCAGCAATATGCAACAAGTGATAAAAAGAAAATTTAGATTTTTTTCTGGAACAACACGCTATATAAAAAATATTGCTGCCTTATTTTTTTGTAATTGAATTAAGTAAACTTTTCTAGTCATCTCAATTACAAAAATTACAATTACAAAAAATAATAAGATAAACTTTGTATAAGCTAAAAAAGTTAGTTGTACCATGATTAATTTAATAAAATACGTTAAAATAATAAAAAAAAAACATGTATTGTCATGACTTTCAGTGATATCTCACAGCAATTTGTAGCTTTTTGATTTAGTAGCTAATTCGTATGACTTTGTATCTCATTCTTACAATTAAGTTTGATTTGCTGGGTTCGGACGCCTACTTTTAAAATTGTACAATTTTGTATGAATGAATTTGTATGAATTAGCCACTAAACTGACAAACTGTAAAATAGTTGCGTTTCCTCGTAAGATCAGGCTGTGACTTTTTGTCATATCAGTGCAGTATGTACATTAATGATAATCTCAAGTACAAATTATTTGCTTCATTTAATGTCTACATTTGTAGTCTCTAATGTTAATTTTAGCCATACTGAAAGCGGTCTCATTCAATATGTACTTTAAATAAGGCTAAATCTGTTTATATTGATAACATCTATTCATTATAATCATCCAAACATTCATTATAGTTGCTCATAGCCTCATTTTTAACTTGAACTTGTATGCTGCCACTTAGCAACATCTAAAACACTATAGCAATGGTTTAGCAACCACCTGACATTGTATAAGCAAATTAAATAGAACCCCAAATCAGAACAAGTTCCCACATATTAAAAAAGAAAGACTGGCCTGCTTGCAGTCCCGACCTGTTTCCAATAGAGAATGTGTGGTGCATCTTGAAGTGCAAAATGTGACAACAAAGACCCTGTGCTTTTGCACATCCTAAGACTTGTTTGCAGGAAGAATGGGACAAAATTACACATGAAACACTTCATCACTTGGTGTCTTCAGTCCCTAAACGTCCTAAAAATGTAAGTGTTGTGAAAATGAATGCCAAAATTACAAAGTGATAAATGCTTTACAGTTTTAACTTTTTTTGAAATGTGTTGCACCAAAATTGGAATACGTGTTTATTTTGAAAATGAAAACAATAAAAAGTCAAAGTAAATTTAGAAATCACTACTTTCTTTTTTTATTTGTGTGATCCATACTGTCCCAACCTTTTCTGATTTGGGGTTGTAATAGCACCACTCACATATGAATGCATTGAACACCTGCATTTATTTGTTTGAGTGCAGAACTGTATGTTTAGCTGTGTAAGAACTTCTAAAACGTAATGAGAGGTTAAAGAATGCCATGCCTATTATGGTCTGGGATTTTACCCAGTACCACACTGTAACTGGCCACTTCTCTTGTGGTATTTGCTAACCACTGTTGCATGCTGTGAGTGTGTTCCCTCCCTTTACCTGTGGTTGTGTTTGATCGCTCCACTGCAGCTGTGGCTTCAAAGGTTTGATAAGTCAATAAGGCGTTAACGCTCTGATCTCAACAGTGATCCCTTGAGCAAAGCACATTTTAGCTTATCACTGGAGTTACGCCGACAACACTGAAGTAGTGCCACACGCTCAAACACACAGTGAAGATAAACTCGGGATGCTATAAAATGAGTGAGGCGTAAAATCAACAACTGTTAAAAGTAACAGCATGTAAGTGCATTGACACGTGCATTGTTAAAAGTCATGCATACTTTGTCCACTCCTGTAGACACATGATAAATCTGCACTGAGCTTTACAACATCAGTTGGATTCCACTGATGGATTCATGAACATGTTTTTGATAGTGTCGTCAAGTGATAAAGTATCTCCTTAATGTTCTTTCTAATCGACAAAAAGTGATAAAAGTCTCCGTTTGTTTCTTTACTTTCACTTTAGCGTTCAATTCCTGCCTCGTTTTGAGAAGTTGACTGAATGGAGTGTTTGCTTTATGCCACCGAGGGAAGTTATAGCTCCCTAAAAACTGACCCACAGCAGGTTAGCACTACTGAAACAGACCTTCATCCATATCAGGAAACTCGCGCCACTAAAAATATGAGTGACTGTGGTGAGCCGGCTGTTTATTTTCAGTTTCTCTAGCATAAAATCCTGCATGCTGTGCGTCGGTTTGCCATATTTTAGAAGTTGCGCTGTTGGGAATGTGACGTGAATGAGAGCAGAGAACAGACAGATGCCTGGTTTGTACATTGACAGAACTTTTTCCTTTTAAAGATATTTTCTTGAAAGTTTCTACAGTGAAAATCAATACAAGATGTGTTTTGTGAATATTTTGAGATATTCTTCTGAAAGAAAAAATCACACAATGCATTGTATTTTATCAAAATAAACAGTTGATGTCAGAATTATTAGACCACCTGAATTATTAGCCCACCTGTTTTTCCCCCCTCAATTTCTGTTTAATGGAGAGAACATTTTTTCAACACACTTCTAATCGTAGTAGTTATATTAACTTTGTTTTTCTATTTTTTATTCAAGATTTCTAAAGTCATACAGCTCTGGATAAGTTAAAATAGTGACTACTCTATATTTAAAAGTCTCCTTTGTCGTCTTGACAATACATAAAAAACGAAGCAACTGACGTAACATGATTTTTCCACAGAATTCACTTTTTTCAACTGCGAGTTCACAGCGCGAAACGGCAAAAATGCGAGGCGCAGCAGGCGGTTAAAACGCGAGGTGCATAGGGCACATAAGCAGCACACAAAACACTCACTGCCTCTAGTAAATCATTTAAACGATGCCTCTCTCGATGCATACAATTGCTTTGGTGTGATTGGCCCCTAATAGGGCTAATAATTTTGACCTTAAAATGGTTTTTAAAATACTAAAAACTGCTTTTATTCTAGCTGAAATAAAACAAAGAAGACTTTTTTTCAGAAGAAAAAAATGATCAGAAATACTGTTAAAATCTCCTTGCTCTCTTAAACATTTAGAACAGTGGTCACCAAACTTGTTCCTGGAGGGCCGGTGTCCTGCAGATTTTAGATCCAACTCTAATCAAACACATCTGAACAAGCTAATCAAGGTCTTACTAGGTATACTTAAAACATCCAGGCAGGTGTGTTGACGCAAGTTGGAGCTAAACCCTGCAGGGACACCGGCCCTCTAGGACCAAGATTGGTGACCCCTGATTTAGAAAATATATAAAGAAGAAAAAACTAATTCAGAGGGGGGCTAATAATTCTGACTTCAACTGTACTAGTACATTTCCCTTTCTTTCTTTCTTTCTTTCTTTCTTTCTTTCTTTCTTTCTTTCTTTCTTTCTTTCTTTCTCGTGTAGATAATATTGGACAGAGAGTTACTTTTTGTATCATAAGTTTTCATTTGTATTGTAATAAGTGTATACTTCATTATTTATTATTATTATACTTCTGTATTTAGTATGATCCTGTATTTTTTTTGCGTAGTCAAAATTGTAGGTCTATCAAGAACAAATATTATGCAGATAATTACATTTTACATCACTTTTTGCCGTTAGTGTATACATTTTAGAGTGCAAATTTCCATTCAGTTAAAACTTTAAAAGTTATAAGGAATCTATAGTATAAACATTAACATTAATATAAAATGTTTTTGCTAAAATTCAATATACTGGAAGTCCAAATAAAATAAACAAATTTTCTGGCCTCATTGAAAATATTTTTTCTTCTGATTATAAAAATAGCACTTATATTTATTAATGGCATTGGGAACTTAATGTAATATGTTGTCTCTTAAAACCTTTTTGACACATTGATAATTCAGAATTTTTTTTAATGAATTTAGATATTGTTGTATAACTGGATTTAACATATTTTACCTGAAGACAAATAAATACCACTGCACTATTTTTTGTGAGATGGAGATTAAAAGATTATCCGATCGTTTCAGCTACAGCGAGCAGGTCAGTTTGATCTGTCTTCCACTCCATGTTTGGTGCGGTTGGCTAGGATGCAGAAGTACAGTCTTTCACAATCCATCATCTGAGCAGATGCTCTCATAAAAACATAGACGGCGTTTCTGCATCGGTGCACTCTTTAAAAACAGAGTGTGTCATTATCCAGAAGAATGCAGGACTCGTGCACACCTCAGGGTTCCTCTTGTTTTTTTTTTTTTTCCTCTTAAAGCAAGGGAACATCTGATCTGCGTTAGATACATCCCATAATGTTCTCTGGAGTCAACTAAAATATCCTTTCTGTCGAAACATCACTCCGAGATGACAATGTCCAGTAAAACACATCAAAATGTTATCTTAAGGTTGTGTAAATATTTCTATTAAACACAGACTCCCTCAG